GCAGAAAATCAAACCCAGATACATACAATAAACACGTAAAAGATATTCAATGTTATTAGTCATCAAGATGATGCAGATTAAAAATGTTAATAGCAGTAAGAATCAAAGGTGGTGTGAGCACAGGCCAGGCGCGGTGGCTCACGCCTGTAATCACAGCACTTGAGAGGCTGAGGTGGGCAGATCACGAGGTCAAGAGATTGAGATCATCCCGGCCAACATAGTGAAACCCCATCTCTACTAAAATACAAAAATTAGCTGGGCGTGGTGGTGCGCACCTGTAATCCCAGCTACTTGGGAGGCTGAGGCAGGAGAATTGCTTGCAGCCAGGAGGCGGAGGTCGCAGAGAGCCGAGATCGCGCCACTGCCCTCCACTCTGGAGCCCAGTGAAAGAGTGAGACTCTGTCTCAAAAAAAAAAAAAAAAAAAAGTGGTAGGAGGATAAATTGGAACGACAACTTTAGAGAGGAACAGAATAGCATGTGGCTAAGTTGAAGAAGGCTGCACCTTGCCACCCAGAAATGTCACTTCTAGCACAGAGTTTCCAACTGTATGGCAAAATGGTCATGCTTTTAAGGTAGCCTGGCTGCAGGCTCTAACTATTGCACCACACAGTATATCTATACAACAACACACTCTGCAGAAGGTAAAATGAATAACCCAGAACTGTAGTCAGCTAATTGAATAAAAAGCAAGTTGCATTGCAGGAGGATTATACCGTATGAAATCATTTATGTTCGTTCAAAACTGTGCAAAACAATACTGCATGCTGTTTATGGAAACATAAACACATAGTAAAAGAATAAACATGTGCATAAATCAGCATGGGTGTCACGTTTGTGGGGAGCAGGAAGGAACTGAGATCCACAAAAGGTACACAGAGGGCTTCACCTCGACCTAGAATGTTTTATTTCTGTCCAGTCATTCATGTCATCAATATTTATTGGCCGGGTGTGGTGGCTCATGCCTGTAATCCCAGCACTTTGGGAGGCCGAGCTGGCCAGATCTTGTGAGGTCGGGAGTTTGAGACCAGCCAGACCAACATGGAGAAACCCTGTCTCTGCTAAAAATACAAAATTAGCTGGGTGTGTTGGCAGATGCCTGTAACCCCAGCTACTCGGGAAGCTGAGGTAGCAGAATTGCTTGAACCTGGGAGGTGGAGGTTGCAGTGAGCTGAGATCCCCCATTGCACTCTAGCTTGGTCAACAAGAGTGAAACTCCATTTCAAAGAAAAAAAATCCACAAATATTTATTAGGGTCTGCTATGTTCCAGGAACTGTTTTGGGTACTGGGAATACCTCAGTAAACAAAACAAACAACAATCCCTGCGGGATGGGGAAACTGAACAGAGTAAATAACCAATGACATAACATATTTGAAAAATGTAAATATATGAGAAAAATATGATATAATGTTAAGATTCAACAAAGTTGAGTGCTAAGGATTCATTACATTATGTCTCTCTCTCTCTCTCTCTCTCTCATATATATATATATATATATACACACATATAAAATGTGTGTGCTTATGTGTGTGTGTGTGTGTGTGTGTATATATATATATATATATATATATATATATATATATATATATACATGGAGAGAGAGACAGGGTCTTGCTCTGTTGTCCATACTGGCATGTAATGGTGCAATCATGGCTCACTGCAGCCTTGACCTCCCAGGATCAAGCAATCCTCCCACCTAGACTCTCAAGTAGCTGGGACCACAGGCATGCACCATGACACCCAGCTAATTTTTATTTTTATATTTATTTATTTTGAGGCAGAGTCTCACTCTGTCACCTAGGCTGGACTGCAGTCGTGTGACCTTGGCTCACTGCAACCTCTGCCTCCCAAGCTCATGTGATTCTCCTGCCTCAGCCTCTTGAGTAGCTGGGATTACAGGTACACGCCACTATGCCTGGCTAATTTTTGTATTTTTTGTAGAGGCAGGTTTTGCCATGTTGCCCAGGCTGATCTTGAACTCCTGGACTCAAGTGATCCACTTGCCTTGGCCTCCCAAAGTGCTGGGATTACAGGTGTGAGCCACTTCACCCAGCCAATTTTTAATTTTTTGTACAAAAAGGTCTCACTATGTCACTCAGACTGGTCTCAAACTCCTGGGCTCAAGTGATCCTCCCATCTTGGCCTCCCAAAGTGCTAGGATAATAGGAGTGAGCCTCTGGGTCCAGTGTATATTTTTCAGTATGCTTGAAATATTTCCTAATTGTCACAGGCCAGCAGGGCTTGATGACTGGCTGGAGGTAGGGCTTGAAGGACAGAGAAGGGCCCAGGCAGACCCTGAAGCATGAGTGACTAAGTGGAAGCAGGTGACATGAACTGATGTTGGAAATACAAGTGAGGGAGGAGGGGGCGAAAGAAGTGAGTTGTCTTTTCTGGATGTCGAGTTCTAGATGCTTGAGGACTTCCAGGTGGAAATGGCCCTCTATCCCCAGGATAAGCGTCCTGAAGTATTTTTTTTTTTTTTTTTTTTTTTTAGGCAGAGTCTCGCTCTGTTGCCAGGTGCCAGGCTGGAATGCAGTGGCGCGATCTTGGCTCACTGCAACCTCCGCCTCCCAGATTCAAGCTATTCTCCTGCCTCAGCCTCCTGAGTAGCTGGGACTACAGGCGCATGCCACCAAGCCCATCTAATTTTTGTATTTTTAGTAGAGACGGGGTTTCATCATGTTGGCCACAATGATCTTGATCTCTTGACCTTGTGATCCACCTGCCTCTGCCTCCCAAAGTGCTGGGATTACAGGGGTGAGCCACAGTGCCTGGCCCTGAAGGAATCATCTTGAATTCCTTGCCAGCTCTCTCATTCTGTAGGCCTGCTAAGATAGACAGAAAAGGATCAGGGAGAGCAGGGAAGAGTCCTGATCCCAGTACAGTTTAGGCCACAGGGAACATGATGATAGTTCAAAAGAGGTCACATGTCAGATGAGAGTCAGGCAGAATGGGTTCACTACCACCTTGCTCTGCGATCTTCAGCAAGATGCATAACTTCTCTGAGCACATTTTATCTCTAAAATGGGCAAGCCAACTTCATGGGAAGGTTGTGAGTTGTAATAAGATAATACAAGTTAAGGGACAAGGGCAGGGCAAGGCATAAAGCTAGCATCCAATATATGATGCCTGTTCTTCTTTAGACAGGTCTTTTCTTCCTGTAACCTCAGTTTTCCCACCTAGAAATAAGAAGGTTCCACAAATGATATTTAAGGCTCTTCCAGAACTTTGGCTGAGTAGGTTGAAAACTGGACTTTGGGTTCAAATCCCAGCTCTGCAACTAGCAGTGTGACCTGGGGCAAGGCACTTAACTTCTCTGAGCTTCATCTGTAACAAAAGGGCACTAGTGCCTGCCTCATACTGACATTCCTCTTAAAAGGCTTTGCATGGGCTTAAAAGGCTTTGGGATACCAGCCGGAAGTGGCGCTGCATTTCCAGGGTCTGGGTTGACTATGAGGGAATACACAGTTCTTCTTGGGGGCAAGGAAATACCCAAGACTGGGTAATTTTTAAAGGACAGAGGTTTAATTGACTCACAGTTCAACATGACTGGGGAAGCCTCAGGAAACTTACAATTATGGCAGAAGGGGAAGCAAACATGTCCTTCTTCACATGGTGGCAGGAAGGAGAAGTGCCAAGCAAAGGCGGAAAACCCACACGTCCTCCCTCTCCAGTCTCTCAACCTCCTCCTTCCCTGCCCTCTGCTTCCCTCTCTGGCAGGCTTTAGGACCTGCTCACATCATTGCAGGCACACTCTGCGTTGCCTGCCCTGACCCATCTCCCACACCCATCTTTGGGAAAGGACCCCATTTCTCTGCAGCACCATCCTTCTAGAGGTATTCACACAGGTCCTTTTTCCTTATAAAGGTTAGGTTTTTCTACTCACTTTGGCAGAGCAACATGGGAGCTGTGGCAACGTGACCAGCCTTCCAGAGCTGGCCAGCACCGTGGGGTACCAGCCACGTGTTGAGAGCTTTATACATGCCTGCTGGGTGCTCTTTCGCAGGTTCAAGAACACTAAATTGGAGGAAAGGAAAAGGCAGATGTTCTGGAAAGTGGGTGTGGGGAGGGACGGAGGGAAGCTTCGTCCTGCACCCTCAGCACCCACACACTCACTCCATAAGCACTCATTGGGCAGCCAGGAGAGACCAGTGGCCACAGAGGAGAAAAGTGAAGAAGGGGCCTTGCCCTTGGAGAGCTCCCACTCTAATAGGTAGATCAGCTAATATTGTAGAACGATTATGGCACTACAGAGAGTTGGATTTGCACCTTGGCTTGTTCTAAGTGCCTTGGGAGGAGACATGGGTGAGGAGATGATATGGTTTGGCTGGGTCCCCACCTAAATCTCATCTTGAATTATAGTTCCCATAATCCCCATGTGTCATGGGAGGGACATGAGAGGAGGTAATTTAATCATGGGGACGATTACCCTCATGCTGTTCTTGCGATAGTGAGTTCTCAGGAGATCTGATGGTTTTATAAGGGGATTTTCCCCATTTTGCTCATTCTCCTTCCTGCTGCCATGTGAAGAAGGACATGTTTGCTTCCCTTCCACCATAATTGTGAGCTTCCTGAGGCCTCCCCAGCCATGTGGAACTGTGACTCAATTAAGCCTCTTTCCTTTGTAAATTACCCAGTCTTAGGTATGCCTTTATTAGCAGCGTGAGAACAGACTATTAGAAGAGAGTCGAGGAAAGCTTCCTGGAGGAGGTGGCATTTCAGCTGGTCTTAAGATATTCCACTAAGTCCATAGGGGAGTGAGGTACAGCAAGCAGAGGTGTGGGTGCTCTTGCAAGGAAGAACTATTGAAAAAGTTGCACTGGGAAGGGCGTTGGTTTCACAGGTATGAAATTTATCCAAAGCTGTGGGCTCTCATGACATCTGGCTAACCTGAGGCTAGGAGGGGGCAGGGTTAGGGTCCTTCTCTTCCCTCTGGCTGACCCCCAAGGGGACTGTACCCTATGTTCTTGCTCCCCTAGGCCAGCTGGCATCTCAGCTTGCTGAGAGTGAAGAAGAAGTGGCTCCTCCCGGCCATCTGCAGCTTCTTCTGCCTGCTCTCCGTGGTCATGACTGGCTGCTTCCTGTGGCAGTATCACCTCCCCAAGCTGAAGACTGGTGAGTGCAGAGACAGCTTTGAGTTTTTCCCCATAGCCCAGCGGGTCCTCCTGGGCTTTGAGCTGCCACCCCTGATCCTAAGGTGTAGGGGGCACCATAAGATTTAGACTCAGAAGCTCCATCCTCCATTCTGGTCCAACTCTCACTAGCTGTGCATCTTTGGGACATTCTGGTCCAACTCTCACTAACTGTGGCCTCTCTGTGCCTCGATGCCCTCATGTACAAAATGAGGATCCTGATGCCACTGGGGTTTGGGGGTAAAATTCAGGTACACACACACACACACACACACACACACACACACACACACACACAAGAGCAAACAGTGTTTCCCTTCCTCTGCCTTCAGCCACCATGGTGGAATCTCCAGGCTGCAGTCCCCTTTCAAGACCCTCCTGAGGCTGTATCTAAGACCTCGATAGGAACAACTCACAGGTGTTCAGAAGCAGCAGCTGCCATGCCTGGGAGCCTCTTCTTCCTGGTGGATCAAGGCCCAATAAAGGAGCCAGCACTGCTGGTGATGCTTACCGGGCCCACTGTTGGTATAGCACTCCCTGGGACCGCCAACCCGTTGGCATCCTGGGTGGTCCAGGGTCCCACGTCTCTGCAGAAGTCGGGGAAAGAACGCCTGTCTCCATTCCTGTGTCATCCTATGTTACAGATGCTCCAAATCTCAGTGAGGTGCCCTGGGCTCCCAATCTCACAGAGATTTTTGCAGAAATGACTGCTTTTATTTTCTTGCCAGCTCCTTCCTCTCCCACCCACAGCCCTTTCTTTCTAGGGTAAGTTTCTTTATGAAGGGCTTCTTAGCCTTTCAAGCAAATAGATCCTGGGTAGGTAGCCTGGTCTGTCTTCTAGGGCCATGCTTCTCAATCTACTAACCTACCAATTCACAGCGGACCAGTATTACAAATACATAAGAATTAATTATTAGGGAAATATAAAAAGACACGCAAAAACAGAAGCCCAAGTTTTCAATTATTAGATTCAATGGATGCAGAATTACTTCATCAAGCAGCAAGAAAAGTTCTAAATGCTTAATCTCAAACTTGTACTTAATTTGTCACAAATGGGAAACAAACAGTTTGTGGTCTGCAGACCACGCTGATCTAGGTGCTCACCCTCCCATGGGTATCACCTGAGGGGTGGTTAGACAAGCAGACTCTCAGGCTCCACCCCGTATCCACTGAATCGAATCTGGAGTCTCGCTCTGTCACCCAGGCTGGAGTGCAATGGTGCCATCTCACTGCAAACTCTGCCTCCCAGGTTCAAGTGATTCTCCTGCCTCAGCCTCCTGAGTAGCTGGAATTACAGGCACCTGACGCCACACCTGGAATTTAGTAGAGGTGGGGTTTCACAATGTTGGCCAGGCTGATCTTGAACTCTTGACTTCAAGTGATCCACCCACTTTGGCCTGCCAAAGTGCTGGGATTACAGACATGAGCCGCCTCACCCGGCCATTTTTTTTTTTTTTTTTTTTTTTTTTTGAGACAGAGTGTTGCTCTTGTTACCCGGGCTGGAGTGCAATGGCACGATCTCGGCTCACCGCAACCTCCGCCTCCTAGGTTCAGGCAATTCTCCTGCCTCAGCCTCCTGAGTAGCTGGGACTACAGGCACGCGCCACCATGCCCAGCTAATTTTTTGTATTTTTAGTAGAGACGGGGTTTCACCACGTTGACCAGGATGGTCTCGATCTCTCGACCTCGTGATCCACCCGCCTCGGCCTCCCAAAGTGCTGGGATTACAGGCTTGAGCCACCGCGCCCGGCCTTTTTTTTTTTTTTTTTTTTGAGACAGAGTCTGACTGTGTCGTCCAGGCTGAGTGCAGTGTTGCAATCTCGGGTCACTGCAAACTTTACCTCCCAGGCTCAAACCATTCTCCCACCTCAGACTCCCGAGTATCTGGGACCAGGCATACGGCACCACGTCCAGCTAATTTTTGTGATTTTTGTAGACAGGATTTCGTCATGTTGTCCAGGCTAGTGTCAAACTCCTGGGCTCAAATGATCTGCCCTCCTCGGCCTCCCAAAAGTGCTGGGATTACAGGTGCGAGCCTCTGCGCCCGGCCAACCCTGCCTTTTAAGATTCCTTGGTAGCCGGGCGCGGTGGCTCACACCTGTAATCCTAGCACTTTGGGAGGTTGAGGTGGGTGGATCACCTGAGATCAGGAGTTCAAGACCAGCCTGGCCATCATGGCGAAATCCCATCTTAGAAAAAAAAGATTCCTTGGTAATTTTTCATGTGTGTGCGTTAAAGTGGGAGGAGCACCACTGTCGACAGCAGCCCCTACCTGGGTCGCAGGCTGAGCAAAGCCTAGGCTCTAGCTGGGACCACCCTATCCTGTGAAACCCACGTAATGACGTTGTTGAGGCATGCTCCCTGAGGTTTGTAATTTTCCTGTTTGGGACCGTGTCAGTTATCTATTGCTAAGTGACAAACCACCCCAAAGCCTACTGGCTTCAAACAAAGCAAGTGATTATTTGCCATGATTCTGTGGGCTGGCTGGCAGCTCTGCTGCTGGTCTAGCCTGGCTCTCTCTGGTGCAGAGGGCAAGTCAGCTTGTGGTGTGGGGGGCTCTGTAGACTCTCGCTCTGAAGGCCGCTATCGCAGACCTGTCCACAAGGTGGCGTTCTCAGGGAGTAAGCACCTAAAGGTCTAGCCTAGGAAGGTCGCAATTTGTTCGGCCTCATTCTTTTGGCCAAAGCAAGTCACAAAGCCAGCCAGCTTCGAAGGCGGAAGGAGCTGACAGAATGTATGGTCATATGGCTGAGCGTGGTAGCTCATGCCTGTAATCTCAGCACTTCGTGAGGCTGAGGTGGGTGGATCATCCGAGGTCAGGAGTTCAAGACCAGCCTGGCCAATATAGTGAAACCCCAGCTTTACTAAAATTACATAAATGAGCCGGGTGTGGTGGAGGACGCCTGTAGTCCCAGCTATTTGGGAGGCTGAGGCAGGAGGATCCCTTGATCCAGGGGGGCAGTGGTTGCAGTGAGCTGAGATTGCGCCACTGCACTCCAGCCTGGGTGAAAGGGTGAGACTCCATAACAACAACAATAACAACACAAAAGAATTTATGGTCATATGCAACCTCCCACAGGAACCTTGTCTCAGTTTTGGGTGGAGTCTCAGGGCAAAGTGGAAGATGAGGAGGATGTATTAATAGTCCTGCGGGGTGTTCATCCCCCTTCACACCCCACTCCAGCCTTAGAGGAAAAGGCCTGGGTGCTGCTGTGATGATATCACAGCCTGAATCCTGGCCTGCCAGCTCCTCACCATCTCCCCTGAGGTGCTGAGGAAGCCACACACCCCGACAAAGGCAGAGCAGGTTCAGCCCCACAGCCCCGATGCTCAGCTCTGGTGAGACAATGAGTTGTTGCTGTGGTTTAGGCCTGAGTCATAGGTGGGGCTGGAAGTCCACCCAAACACATAATCAGGGTGAGGGCAGGTAAGATGTACAGACAGATGTGGCTGAGCCTGCCTCATGCAGCCAGAATGGTCTAAGTCCACGGACCACAGGGAGATGGGAAGCTGGTTAAGCAAGGGAGTGGGGAGTGCAGTGACCACCAACCAGGAGCTGTGGCCTGATGGATGTCACCAGCGGGGCTGGGCCTTCTCCCCAAGGGCACGCTCTGCTCCATAGCCCCTCAGGGCATATGGCTGGTCTCTGCACCCTGATATCTTTCAGTTCAGCTGGGGAGGGCTGTCCTTGAGGCACTGCTCCGGCCTTTGTCACCACTTTCCCCCTATCTCCTAGATTCCTATCCTGATCTCTGTCCCCTCCTCATCATGTGATGTTCACTCCAGGTTCCCTGGGACCAGAGGAGACCTCTGCCCCTGTGAGGATGTGTCCCCGGCATCCTGAGCCCGTGCCCCTGGTCCACCCACTCCCTGTGTTGAAGGAGGCCCTGGAAAAGGTCAGTGATGACCCATCAGGGAACTGGGCATGTGGGCTAGGCCTGGGTGATGAAGGGGAGGGCAGTCCCTCTGTGCTGGCAGTGGCATTCACTCATTCATTCATTCATTCATTCATCCGTCCAAGATGTATTTCTTGAGCATCTACTCTGTGCTAGGCACTAGGAATATGGCAGGAAGAAGACACTGACCTGCTCTCAAGAAATTACTGATCTGGAAGTGAGAACAGTGAGGACATCAAACATTTATAACTCTGGGGCAAGAGTAGGGTAAGAAAAGTTTAGCGGACTTTGGGAGCACAAAGGAATGGGCCTTAGGATCAGGGAGGGCTTCTGGAGGAAGTGGTGTCTAAGCTGCAGTGTGAACAAGTAGCAGATGCCCAGATGACCTGTGTCTGGTGAGGGAGGCTGGGGTGGAGGGCTGTGCTCCAGACAGGCGGAACAGTACCTGCAAGGGCCTGGAGGCTACAGAAAGTACATGACACATGCAGAGAACTGAGAGGCCATAGGTGGGAAGTGGGGAGGATGAGCTGGGAGAGGATGACCGAGCCCATAATGCAGAGGTCACTTCGATATGATTAAACACTCCATGCCCCCAACACAACGTTTACCATTGCAGGATGGCCAAACCCTAGAGGGAGGTGCCAGTCGGCTCTAGTCTGTGCCAGTCAGACCCCAGCCACTTGGGTCACCTTGGGAGACATGGAGACGAGTGAAACATGATCAGAAATATATGAGCCATAGCATGGTGGGGGAGACTCGAAACTGACATCTGAGGAACAGTTAAAGGGAAAGCGGTGTTGAGTCCCCAGAAGAGAGAAGGCATGGGCCAATGCAGAGCCAACAATCGCTGTTTGCAAACACCTGAAAGGCTTTTGTGAAGGGGAGAGAACAGAAGGTGCTATGTGGCTTTCAGGAGTTACAGCAGATACTCAAAAGAACAACAATAATAACCATGCCGCCTTCTGTTAGCACCTGGTAGGTGCCATTGCCACGAAGCCTCTTACACGCATTCCTCATGGATCCCTATCTACAGAGGGGACAGAGGCTCAGAGAGGCAAAGTTAGTGCAGGGATGGAAAGTGGAGGTGGACAGAGCTCAGTCAAGGATATGTAAAATCACTTGGCAAGGTGGTCTGGCAGTTAATTAAGATGTACGGGCCAGGCGTGGTGGCTCATGTCTGTAATCCCAGCACTTTGGGAGGCAGAGACGCGTGGATCACCTGAGGTCAGGAGTTCAAGACCAGCCTGGCCAACATGGTGAAACCCCATCTCTACTAAAAATACAAAAATTAGCCGGGCATGGTGGCGCCCATCTGTAATCCCTGCTACTTGGGAGGCTGAGGCAGGAGAATTGCTTGAACCTGGGAGGCAGAGGTTGCAGTGAGCCGAGATCGCAATGCTTCACTCCAGCCTGGGTGACAGAGCAAGACTCTGGTCTCAAAAACAAAAACCAAAAAACCAAAAAACAAAACAACAGCAAAAAAGAACGGGGGCTAGACTTGGCGCAGGCAGGGTTCTAACCTTGATTCCATCAGTAGCCACATGGGCAAGTCACCCCATATCTCACAGGCCCTCATTTCTCATCTGCAAAATGGACAGAAATTAGCACTGACTTACAAGGATTAAAGAAGACAAGGTATGAAAATCACTTTAGGCCATGCCTGGCACATTCTATTTTTTAATTTTTATTATTATTATTATTTTTACTGTTGCTATAACAGCCTGGCACATTCCAAATGTCCAATAAATGTCAGCTGTTATCACCATCATTGTGCTTCATCATTGATAATAATGAAGTATTTTTCACTAACTGTTCAGGCTAGGTGAGGTGGCTTACACCTGTAATCAGCACATTGGGAGGCCGAGGTGGGAGAACTGCCTGAGATCAGGAGATGGAGACCAGCCTTGTGTACAGTGACACACCGTCTCTACAAAAATGTTAAACAATTAAACTGGGTGTGGTGGCATGTGTCTGTACTCCTAGCTACTCCACAAGTCTGAGGTGGGAGGGTCACCTGAGCCTGGGAGGTGGAGGCCGCAGTGAGCTGTGCGTGAGCCACTGCACTCCAGCCTGGGAGACAGAATGAGACCTCCTGTGGAAAAAAAAAAAACAAAAAAACAAAAAACCAAACAAATAAATGTTCAAAGAGGGCCGACCGCCCTGCATTAATAGTGAATTTTCCAACATCAGGGGTTCAGGCTAGGCCTATTGGAAGTTTTCTAGGTCATCTGACATGGGTTTGACTATAAAGCAGACATGGGTTTGACAGCAGTAGTTTTTTTTTTTTGAGACAGAGTTTCGCTCTTGTTACCCAGGCTGGAGTGCAATGGCGATCTCGGCTCACCACAACCTCTGCCTCCTGGGTTCAGGCAATTCTCCTGCCTCAGCCTCCTGAGCAGCTGGGATTACAGGCATGTGCCACCATGCCCAGCTAATTTTTTGTATTTTTAGTAGAGACGGGGTTTTACCATGTTGACCAGGATGGTCTTGATCTCTTGACCTCGTGATCCACCCACCTTGGCCTCCCAAAGTGCTGGGATTACAGGCTTGAGCCACTGCGCCCGGCTTTTTTTTTTTTTAATGGAATTTTGCTCTTGTCGCCCAGGCTGGAGTGCAATGGCGCCCTCTTGGCTTACTGAAACCTCTGCCTCCTGGGTTCAAGCGATTCTCCTGCCTGAGTCTCCCAAATAGTTGGGATTACAAGTGCCCACTACCACGCCCGACTTACTTTTTGTATTTTTAGTAGAGACAGGGTTTCACTATGTTGGCCAGGGGTAGTCTTGAACTCCTGACCTCAGGTGATCTGTCCACCTTGGCCTCCCAAAGTACTGGGATTACAGGCATGAGCCACCCCACCAGGCCTTAAAGCAAAAGTTTTAACCCCCTCTCCTTTTTTCTTTTGCTAAGAAACTGTTTCTTTGAGCAAACATCTTATGAAGAAGCCCAACAGTGGGGGCCCCAGCCCATGGCGCATGGTTTGGAGGCTCACTGGGGTGTTGTGTGCAGGGTGTGGCTGTGCAGGATGACTACTGAGGGTGAGGGCAGGGGGCCTGTCACTGAGCCCGTTCTTCTCCCTCAAGGTGGATGGGATCCTGCGCCAGGCAATGTCTGCCCCAGGCGTGGCTGCCATGTCTGCAGTTGTCATCCACAATGACACTGTGCTCTGGACAGGGAACTTTGGGAAGAAGAATGGCTCAGACCCGACTTCTGGGACCCCCAATGAGTACACCATGTACAGGTCAGCTGGGTGATCTCTAGGGTCCTGTGGAGGGGTAAAGGGATGGGAGGGCAAGGGGGACCTAGTAGGTAAGGATACTGAAGAGAATCATGGCTGGGGTCTAATCTGCCAGGACCTGTTACGAAGTCGTGAAGATTGTTTTTTTGAGATGGAGTTTTGCTCTTGTTGCCCAGGCTGGAGTGCAATGGCGCGATCTTGGCTCACCACAACCTCCGTCTCCTGGGTTCAAGCGATTCTCCTGCCTGAGCCTCCTGAGTAGTTGGGGTTACAGGCATGTGCCACCACATCCAGCTAATTTTGTATTTTCAGTAGAGACGGGGTTTCTTCATGTTGGTCAGGCTGGTCTCGAGCTCCTGACCTCAGGTGATCCGCCCACCTTGGCCTCCCAAAGTGCTGAGATTACAGGTGTGAGCCACTGCACCCCACCAAGTCTTGATAATTTTTTTTTTTGAGATAAAGTTTCACTTTTGTTACCCAGGCTGGAGTGCAATGGTGTGATCTTGGCTCACTGCAACCTCCACCTCCTGGGTTCAAGTGATTCTCCTGCCTCAGCCTCCTGAGTAGCTGGGATCCTGAGTAGCTAGCACCACCACACCTGGCTAATTTTGTATTTTTAGTAGAGACGGGGTTTCTCCATGTTGGCCAGGCTGGTCTTGAACTCCTGACCTCAGGTGATCTCCCGGACCTTGGCCTCCCAAAGTGCTGGGATTACAGGCGTGAGCCACTGCGCTCCGTCTAAGTCTTGACAATTTTATAGAAGAGGAGACTGAAGTCCAGAGAGGACCAGTGAGTGCCCGATGTTACATCACAGGGGTAAAAGGTCAGGAAGGCATCCCTTCCGGAAAGAAACTTGGCTCTAAACCTCCCACAATAAAAAAGGCTGCCTTGTGCCCATCCCCTCAACCCTGAGCATGTGCCACAAAGGAACCATAATCAGTTCCTGGGTCCTTGTCCCAGGTTCCTATCAAGTGGCAACAGTGGCCCAGGTGGAAACAGCTGGGGATGTTTAGTTGCAAACTGGGAGTCTCCCCTCCTGTGTGCTGCCTGCAGGCTCCTCAAAGCTCATGATGTAGAGTGAACACATTTGTTCCTGGGGACACTGTGGGTTTTACAGGAATCCAGAGGGAACGGCACTGAAACGGCACCTGCTCTGTGCCGGGCATGGGGCCAACAGTTCTATCTGCTCTCACATATTGAGCACTTAGCACCTCCCAGGTAGGTAGCCAGGCACTTTGCACACACAACCTCATCCCATCCTTTTATTAATACCACCGGTGAAGCAGGCAATGAGATGGAATCTCAGATGGGTCTAGAAACTTGCCCAAGGCCACAGGGCCAGTGAGAGGCAGAGGCATCATCCAAATCCAGGTCTGTTCCTGAATGGGAAATGCCTGGTAAAGAGCCTGGCACAGGATATCCATCCCACCTCAGCCCCTTTGCTCTGGGTGTGTTCTCAAGCATCCCAAAGGCAGTTCCACAGAGGCTGCTTCATTTCCGCTGGAGATGTTGACTTAAGCAGGATGCAGTGCTTCTCTAGAATACGAAACGGTTGCAGGCTGGGGGCACAGGGTGGATGTGGATTGTGGGGTCAACAGGATGTCCTTTGACCCCTTGTGTTCCCAACATTATCTAGGATCTCCAGCATCTCCAAGATCTTCCCCGTGCTCATGCTGTACCGTCTGTGGGAGGAGGGCGTCGTGGCCTCTCTAGATGACCCTCTGGAGCGGTACGCCAGCACCTTCACCATTAACAACCCGCTGGGCCTGGCATCAGCTCCTGAACGGCAGGGCCTCAGGGACGGGCTGCAGGAGGTGGGCCCTGCCCCAAGGCCTTCACCTGTCACCCTTCGAAGGATGGCCAGCCAGCTCTCAGGTGAGTCTCAGAACTGACTCAGGCTGACCCAAACCATTTCAGAAGGGGAAGCTGAGGAACAGATTCTCATCTGGTTGAAATGGCTCACTCTCCCCTCTGCTTCCTGAATTGGCCCTATCTCCCTCTCACTGGATGTGGGTGGTGGGCCAGGGAAAGAAACATCTCTCGAGGTAAAAGCTGAAGGGAAGCCTGGAAACAGACCAAGTAGAAACATCAAGATGAGTTGGCAGGTCAAAATCAAGTTGATAAGGCAAGTCAGTGAGTCAATATGTGGCCAGGCTCAGTGGCTCATGCCTGCCATCCCAGTGCTTTGGGATGCCAAAGTGGGAGGATCACCTGAGCCTAGGAGTTCTAAACCAGTCTGGGCAACATAGTGAGACCCCATCTCTAAAAAAAAATTAAAAATAGCCAGGTGAGGTGGTGTACACCTGCAGTCTTAGCTACTTGGGAGGCTGCGGTGGGAAGATCACATGAGCCCAGGAGTTAAAGGCTACACTGTGCTATGATTGATGACATAGTAAGATCTCCTCTCTCACACACACAAAAAAGGCTATATTTGTAAACAATGCTACAAAGACTAATTTCCCTTAATATATAAAAGTCACCTGCAAATTATTACAAAGACCAACAGCCCAACAGAAAAATGGGTAAAGGAGAGGAACAGAATTGACAGCTCATAGAAAATACTCTTAAGAATATTCTGGGCTGGGCGCGGTGGCTCAAGCCTGTAATCCCAGCACTTTGGGAGGCCGAGGCGAGTGGATCACGAGGTCAAGAGATCGAGACCATCCTGGTCAACATGGTGAAACCCCGTCTCTAATAAAAATACAAAAAAAATTAGCTGGGCATGGTGGCGCGTGCCTGTAATCCCAGCTACTCAGGAGGCTGAGGCAGAAGAATTGCCTGAACCCAGGAGGCAGAGGTTGCAGTGAGCCGAAATCACGCCATTGCACTCCAGCCTGGGTAACAAGAGCGAAATTCCGTTTCAAAAAAAAAAAAAGAATATTAAGGGCCAGGCGGGGTGGCTCACACCTGTAATCCCAGCACTTTGGGAGGCCGAGGCGGGTGGATCACCTGAGTTCAGGAGTTTGAGACCAGCCTGGACAACATGGTGAAATCCCGTCTCTACTAAAAATACAAAAATTAGCCCAGTGTGGTGGCTTGTGCCTATAATCCCAGCTACTCTCACTTTGTAGCACAGGCTGGAGTGCAGTGGTGTGATCTCAGCTCACTGCAACCTCTGCCTCCTGGGTCCTGGTTCAATCAATTCTCTTATGTCTGTCTACCTCCTGAGTAGTTGGGATTACAGTAACACACCACTATACCCAGCTAATATTTGTATTTTTAGTGGAGACAGGGTTTCACCATGTTGGGTAGGATGGTCTTGATCTCCTGACCTCATGATCCCCCCACCTTGGCCTCCCAAAGTGCTGAGATTGCAGGTGTGAGCCACAGCACTGGGCCCTTCTTTTTTAAAAAACAATTTTATTATCTCTCAACTCATGGAAGGTGGGGAGGGAGTGCACCCAGGGGCCCATCATCGCACCCTCAGCTGAGCCCGGTAAGTCTGATCACTGCTCCTCCTTAGGGCTGCCCAGAAGGCTCCGCTCCACTTCACTGCTGTGGAAGGGCAGCACCCAGGAGGCCCTGAACCTGCTTAAGGATGATGTGCTGGTGGTGGACCCGGGAACCAGGTGAGGAGCGTACCCTGATGCCCAGCCTCTCATTAGGAGCCTCCTGGGGAGACACACCTGCCTGGGAAAAAGCTGACATCATTTCATCCTAGGTGATCAGAGAGACTTGCTCCCCAGCTGGAAAGGCCAAGGCCTAGAGAGGGGAGGCCAGCAAGGCAGGGGAGAGCTGGGCCCAGAATCCAGTTCTGTTTGAATGGCATGTTTTTTCCATTCACCAACTTAACATTTATTGAGCACCTACTTTGTCCAGAATGTGCTAAACACAGAGGTATAGCAGCAAAGAAATCCAACTGGGCCCTCCTCATGGAGTTTGCACTCTTGTGAGGGAGACACCATGAGCAAATAAGCAAGGTGAATACAGATTTTGCCAGGCTGGAAATAAATGGGTTGCTGACCAGATGGGGAATGGATAACTGGGTGGCCATTGAACAGAGAAGCCCCATTCTGGGAGCAGTGGGACTGTGGGACCGGACAGAGGACAGCTGGCACTCTCTGGCTTCAGGGGCCCGCCTCTGGGCGGTGACCCATTTCCAAGTTTGTCCCTCTGCTTCTCCAAATGCTGAACCTCAGGCCCCACGTCCCTTAAGGAAGAAATGATCCAGGTGATGCAGAGAGGGGAGATGCCTGGACATCTTAAGGCTGGAGTCCTCCTTTCAGCTCTGCGAATAATTTATTGCAATGTGACCTTGGGTGATGCACGTTATTTCTGTGAAACTCATCTAACGAATCTTCCTCATCTGCAAAAATAAGGAAGTTGGCTTAGAGTTCAGGAATGCTTAGTAGAATTTGTGAATTTTCACCTATCCTTGCACCTTCCTGAGGCACTATTTTAGAGATTCTGAAATGGTATTTGCTCCTGGAAAGAAAAGAGGCCTCTTGCTGGTTACTGGTGTCTGCCCCAGCCTGGAAGAAGGGAGGGGTGAGACCTTGCCTCATACGTGGTCACTATCATTTTTGTTTCCCCAGAGCAATGTAAGCCTTTAATTTTTCATTCGATAAAGTAAATCTTACTAAAGTGTGAAGGGCCAATAAGATGTGTCTGCTAATTTTGCCAGGTGCACCGCTGAGCCCAGCTCTCTTCCAACCTGCTATATGACACTGGGCAATTCCCTGTCCCTCTCTGGGCCTTGGTCTTCCCAGATGTAGAAGAGAGAGCGTCAATGCCCTGAAGTCTCTTCCAGGTCTGACCACCCAGGATGCAGGGGAGCAGGTTCCTTCCCAGCCCCACCCAGTCCCATGAAACTGGTGGCATTTCAGACAGCGTGGGCAGGTGAGGAGGGGCCCCATCCCAGTTGCCACCGCTCTCCTTCCAGGTGCCATTACAGCACGCTGGCATTTTCGCTCCTGGCCCACGTCCTGGCAGCCCACACCGTCCAGGGCGACTACCAGCGCTGGGTCTCGGAGAACGTGCTGCAGCCGCTGGGGATGGCGGACACGGGCTTCGACCTCACGCCCGTCGTGCGTGCGCGCCTGGCCGCGGGCTTCTACGGCAGCGGGCGGCCGGCGCCGCTCTACGACCTGGGCTGGTACCGGCCGTCGGGCCAGATGTACTCCACCGCCGCCGACCTGGCCAAGCTGGCCATGGCGCTCCTGGGGGGCGGGCCCCGGCAGCTCCTACGGCCCGACGCGGCCAAGACGCTGCTGGCGCCGCTGCTGGCCTGCCCCGGCGCCTACTTCGCCAACGAGACGGGCACGCCGTGGGAGTTCCACGCGCAGCGGGGCTACCGCGTGGTGCGCAAGGACGGCGACCTGGACGGCTACGCCGCCACCTTCTCGCTGGTGCCCCCGCTGCGCCTGGGCCTGGTGCTGCTGCTGGCCGGGCCGCGGCCGCCCGGGCCCGACCTGGTGGCGCGGGTCTACGACGAGCTCCTGCCCGCCCTGGAGCGCGCCCTCCGGGAGGCCGAGCCCGACCCGGCCCCGCCGCCCAGCGCGCGCCCCTTCGCCGGCTACTTCACCTTCGCCAACCTGACTTTCTACGAGGTGCGCGCCGGGCCGGCTGGCGAGCTGCACCTGCGCCAGTTCGGGCCGCGCGTGGAGGCGCTGGTGCCCCCAGCATTCCGCACCCTGGCGCTGCGCCACCTGCGCGGCCGCGTCTTCCAGCTGCACGTGGCCCGCGAGTTCCCCTGCGCTCTGCCGCTCGGCGACGCGTGGCTCTCACTCGAGGCCCAGCATGGGCAGCTGGTCAACTTCTACCCTTTGGATCACCACGGGCTGTCCCCCGGCTTCGACGTGCCCGGCCTCAACACGTACCGAGTGCTGCGACTGCAGCACAAGCCGGTGTTCAAGACCCAGTGACCCTGGGCTCAGCCTGGAACCCCCCTGTCTCTGGTCTCCCAGCTTTCCCGAGTGAGGTTTGGAAGGGGAGGTTGTGGGGATGCCTATTAGAAAACCCAGGTAGTTGGCAAAGTGGAGTAGGGTGGTGCTACTCAAAGTGTGGTCCTCGGACCCGGAAATTCGAATTGCTCCACATCCACAGGGGAGGAAGGATTAAGTACAGGCACTTAGAGTAAGCGTTTAGAAACTTTAACAAGCACCCAGAAATTTAAGCATTGAAAACAGCACTTTTGTGCCTGTTGAATCTAAAGCAAAATATGGGCTTGTATTTTGTCTTTTAAAAATCAACAGAAGCAGCCGGGCATGGTGGCTAATGCCTGTAATCCCAGCACTTTGGGAGGCTTTGGTGGGCGGATCACTTGAAGTCAGGAGTTCCAGACCAGCCTAGCCAACATGATAAAACTCCATCTCTACTAAAAATACAAAAATTAGCCAGGCTTGGTGGTGGGCGCCTCTAATCCCATCTACTCAGGAGGCAGAGACAGGAGAATCACTTGAATTTGGGAGGCAGAGGTTGCAGTGAGCCGAGATTGTGCCACTGCACTCCAGCCTGGGCAACAGAGTGAGACTCTGTCTCAAAAAAAAAAAAAAAAAAAAAAAAAAAAATCAACCTAAGCTTGGGCAACATGGTGAGACCCCATCTGTACAGAAATAAAATAAAAATTAGCTGGGCATGGTGGCTGGTAGTCCCAGTTATTCAGGAGGCTGAGGCAGGAGGATTGCTTGAGTCTAGGATTTGGAAGCTGCAGTGACCCATGTTCGTGCCACTGTACTCCAGGCTGAGTGACACAGCAAGACCCTGTCAAAAAGATAAAAATAAAAATCAACCTTATTGAGTTATAATTTACATAAAATGATCACACCACCGGAGTACAGTTGGGTGATTTTGACACATATTTATGCCCACCACCACAATAGAGATATAGACAATTTTATCACCACGAAGATTTCCCCCTACTCCTTTGCGGTCAGTTCTCTCTTTCTCACCTAGCCCCAGGCATCTGCTGATCTGCTTCCTGTCACTATAGATTAGCTTTGCCTGTTCTAGAATTTCATACAAATGGAACCATATGGTGTAGTCTTTTGTGTCTGTCCTCCTTTGTCAGTACGATGGTTTAGAGGTTCGTCCATGTCTGTGTGTGTATGAATAGTTTATTGTTTTTATTCCATTGTTTATATATGCCACAATTTGTTTATTCATTTCTCTGTTGGTGGACATTTGGGTTGTCTCCAGATTAGGGCTAATTATGAAAAAGCATTTCTATATAAGTCTGTGTGTCAATACATGCTTTCATTTCTTTTGAGTAGCTATCTAGGTGTGACTGGTGTGCAGTTTTCCAAAATCTGTGTACCATTTTATATTCCTAACAGCAATATGTGACAGTTCAGTTGTTGGCATTGTCAGACTTCTACATTTTAGCCGTGTTCATAGTTGTGAAGTCCTATCTCACTGTGGTTTTAATGTATTTATTGAGCTGTAAAAGCTCTTTATATAGTCTGGATACTAGTCCTTTGTTTGATATATGCGTTACAAGTATTTTCCCCCAGTGTCTGACTTGACTTTTCATGTTCTTAATGGTGTCTTTTGAAGAGCAGAATTTTAAAATTTTGATGATTTTCATGCCTGTTAAATCTAGTATAAAATCTGGGTGTGCATTTTGTGTATCTTTTTTAAAAAGTAAACTTTTGATTTTGAGATAATTGTAAATTTGAGATAATTGTAGATTCATAAGCAATTGTAAGAAATAATCAATGTATTCTTTACCTAGTTTCTTCTAATGGAAACATCTTGCAAAACTCTAGTACAATAGCACCAGCAAAATACTCACATTAATACAGTCAAGGCTGGGCGCAGTGGCTCACGCCTGTGATCCCAGCACTTTGAGAGGCTGAGGCAGGTGGGTCATCTGAGCCTAGGAGTTCACGACCAGCCTGGGCAATATAGTGAGCCCTCATCTCTACAGAAAATAAAAAAATTAGCCAGGTTTGGTGGTGTCTGTTTATAATCCCAGCTACTGAGGAGGCTGAGGTGGGAGGATTGCTTGAATTCTGGAGGTCAAGGCTGCAGTGAGCTGTGATTGTGCCACTGCGCTCTGCTATGGATGGCAGAGTAAGACCATGTCTCAAAAAAAAAAAAAAAAAAAAAAAAAAAAGCCAAGGTCCAGAACATTTTCACCAGCACAAAAATCCCTCTTTCCCCTTTCCTAACCACACCCATTTGGTCCTCAGCCACACCCTCCCCTTAACCTCTGCCAACCACCAATCTGTCTCCATTTCTATAATTTTGTCGTTTCAAGAACGTTATGTAAATGGAGTCATATAATATGTAAGCTTTTGGGATTCTTTTTACCACTTGGTGTCATTCTCTGTAGAATCATCCAAGTTGTTACAAGTATCAATAGTTTGTTTCTTTTTGTTACAGAGCAGTGGTTCCCTGTATGGATATAGCACAATTTGTTTAACCATTCACTTGTTGAAGGACAAGTGGGTTGTTTACAATTTGGGGCTATTATGAATAAAACTGCTATGTAGATTTGTTTAGAGGTGTTTGTATGAAGAATGTAAGTTTTTATTTCTCTGGGATAAATGCCCAGAAGTGCAACTGATGGTTCGCATGGTTAGTTGCATGTTTAGTTTTTAAAGAAACTGCCAAACTGTTCCCCAGTGGCTGTACCCTTTTACATTCTAGCCAGCAATGTATGCATGGTCGAGTTTCCCCCTATTTTCTGGCTAGCATTTGGTACTGTCACTATTTTTTTATTTTAGTAATTCTAATAGGTGTGTAGTGTTGTATCATTATGGTTTTAATTTGCACTTTCCTCATAGCTAATGAAGTTGAACTTTTTTTTTTTTTTTTTTTTTTTTTTTTTTTTTTTGAGGCGGAGTTTCGCTCTTGCTACCCAGGCTGGAGTGCAATGGCACGATCTCGGCTCACCGCAACCTCTGCCTCCCGGGTTCAGGCAATTCTCCTGCCTCAGCCTCCTGAGTAGCTGGGATCACAGGCAGGCGCCACCATGCCCAGCTAATTTTTTGTATTTTTAGTAGACACGGGGTTTCACCTTGTTGACCAGGATGTCGATCTCTTGACCTTGTGATCCACCCGCCTCGGCCTCCCAAAGTGCTGGGATTACAGGCTTGAGCCACCGCGCCCGGCTGAAGTTGAACATTTTTATATGCTTTTTGCCATCTGTATATCCTCTTCAGTAAAATATCTCTTTATGTCTTTTGCCCATTTTCTAATTGGATTTTTAAAAAATTGTTGAGTTTTGAGGGTTCTTTACACATTTCAGAAACTGGTCCTTTGTCAGGTACATAGTTTGCAAATCTTTACTCGTCTGTAGCTGGCCTTTTCATTCTCTTGGGTCTTCTGCAGAGAAAAAATGTAAAATTTTGATCAAGTCCAATTGTGGTAGGCTGAACAGTGGCCTCTCAAAAGATGTATACATCCTAATCCCTGGAACATGTAAAGGTACATTTTATGGCAAAAAAAAAAAAAAGGAACTTTGCAGATGTGATTGCAGATGTGATTATGTTAAAGGGGTGTGTGTGTGTGTGTGTGTGTGTGTGTGTGTGTGTGTGTGTTTGACAGGGTTTTACTCTGTCCCTTGGGCTGGAGTGCAGTAGTGCATTGCAACTCACTCAGCCTCAAACTCTCAGGCTTAAGCAATCCTCTCACCCCAGCCTCCTGAGTAGGTGGGACTACAGGTGGGCACCACCAGGCCTGGCTAAAAGTTTTAAAATTTTTTGTAGAGACTAGGTCTTGTTATATTGTCCAGGCTGGTCTCGAACTCCTGAGCTCAAGTGATCCTCCTGCCTCAGCCTCCCAAAGTACTGAGATCATAGGCATGAACCACCATGCCCAGCAGGTTAAAGATCTTGAAATGAGAAGGTTATCCTGGATTACTGAGATGGGCCCTGAATGTAATCACAAGTATCCTTATGAGAGAGAGGTAGAGGATGATTCAGTACTGATGGAAGACGAAAAGGCAATGTGACCTCGGAGGCAGAGACTGGAATGATATAATCACAAGCTATGGAACTCTGTTAGCTCCCAGAAACTGGAAGAAGCAAGGAATACATCCTTTCTTATAAGCAACAAGGGTAGCACAGACCTACTGACATTTTGATTTGGTCCAGTAATATTGATGTCAGACTTCTGGCTTCTGGAACTGTGAGAGAATAAATTTCTGTTGTTTTAAACCACTAAATTTGTAGTAATCATTATAGTTCCCACAGGAAATTAACACACCACTTTATCAACTTTTTCTCTTATGGGTCGTGCTTTTGGTGTCAAGTCTGCAAACTGTTTGCCTAGCCCCAGATCCCAAAGATTTTCTCCTATGGTGTTTTTTAAAAGTCTGTCATTATGTGTTTCATATTTAAGTTTGTGATCTATTTTGAGTTAATTTTGTATAAGGTGTGAGGTTTAGGTTGGGTTTCATGTTTTTGTCCATGGGAGTCCTGTTATTTCAGCATCATTTATTGAAAGGGCTCTCTTTCCTCCTGCCTTAGTCCATTGGTGATGCTAAAACAAAAATACCTGAGACTAGGTAATTTACAAAGACTGGAACTTTATTCCTCATAAACTAAATTTTATTTAGTTCTGGAGGCTGGGACGTTCAAGATCAGGATGCCTGCAGGTTTGATTGTCTGGTGAAGGTTGTTTTCCGCTTCCAAGATGGCGCTATGGTTGCTGCATCCTCCGGAGGGGAGGATCACGTGTCCTCACAGCAAAGGCAGAAGGACAAGCAAGCCGGATGCTGCATGAAGAAAAGACTCTTTTACACAGGACCTAATCCCATTTGAGCCCTCATGAACCATTACCTCTGAAAGGCCCCACCTATTAATATAATCACTTTGGCCATAAAATGTTAATACCTGAATTTTGGAAGGAACATATTCAAACCATTGCACCTCTGTTGAATTGCTTTTGCACCTTTGACAAAAATCAGTTGGGCTAG